CCAGCACCTCCAACCATGGACAGAGTTTACACCTGTGGCTGAGGGCCTGTTTACCTGGCTTGAGCCCGTGAGGGATTTGCAGTTTTGCTAGAGGTTTTGTTCATGGTCATGGTAAACCCTCTGAAAGAAACTCTCCTGTTTTAAGCTTGGGGATAACTCCTGGGGAACAACCAGGGAGGCAGGAAGGACTGGTGACAGATCTGGCTTCTCAGTCCTGTCCAAGGCTCAGGATTGAAGGAGATGCCAGCCTTACCTGCGTTGCCTGCTCTGCCCATGACAGGCAGTGTAATTTCCCAGTCTCAAGACCTAGTTGGAGGCAGTTCCATTTTTTATCCTCCCTCAGTGCTCTACCCTCAGCTCCCTGATGATATTTGCTCTGGACTGGACTTCAGCCCCCACAGGGATCCCACTGCTGCAGGGTGCACATAATGCATGGTTCTTTCATCCCATCAGGGTTTGTAGATGTTGGGCTGTGGCTGAGGGTGGCAGGCTGGGTGGGTCTTCATGGCATCCTGGCAAGAGCAGGAGTGTTATCCATTAACCACAAGAGGACACAGACCAATGGCAACACAGCCAGGGCATTATGAAGTGATCCACCCTACCCTGCAGTTTCTCCTTCCCATCTTCACACCCACTCCTAGTGGCAGCACAAGGCTGGCGTGTCTTTGTGGTGAACCACATCAGAACACTGATCTGCTAGCGTGTTTCTGAATAGAGCTGGGGGCAGCAACTGCGGGGTGCCCACATGATGTGGGTCAGAATCTATGCCTTGCAGGGGGATGAGGGAGGTGCTGAAGAGTGCTGCATTCCCCCTGCCTGGGCTCTGCAGCTGGGCTTGCTCCAAAAGTGGAGCCTTTGACCGGAAACAAAACCCAGCATCAATAAATAGCCTGGCAGTCAATACTCAACACACAAGTCTGCTTCACACTGCATCCCTTACTTCCCTGTGGCTTTGAAGGGGATGCAGTGTGTCAGAAGGGACAGCTTCAGCAAGGCTCAGGCCCTGGGCTCCCTATCACCTGGCATCGCTGTGGAGGTACATCAGCATCCACCCAGGCAAGCCCTGACAGGACACCTTGCCAGATGGCCAGCTCACCTCAGTGGAGGCTGCTGTAAACTTGGGTCTCCTGGCAGGGTGTCTAGAGCCACCTTCATCTCCTCTGCTCCTCACATTAATCTGGGGAGACTGAGAGGCTTCTGGAGCCTGCCAGCCAATGCCAGTGGCTGCAGAGTGACATTTCCTCAAGAGCAGAGCATGCAGTGGCTCTCATCCAGGGTTTTTTGTGCTTCCCTGAGACATCCTGAGGATGCTCAAGGGTGCCAGACAGGCTGTGATACCATGGCGGTGGCACACTGGGTGGTGGCTGTTTGCACCGATGTAGCAGCACAGGCTGGGATTCAGAGGGGATGTGACTAGCTCTTTCCTAGCTTGTGGCAGGGCTTATTATTGTTGGTTGTGTGTGAGATTCTGTTTTGATGGCATTTGGGCAGACACAGTGGTCCCCACCTCCTGTTTACTCTCCCTGCCTGATCCTACTTAAAATAAAGATTTTCCTGTTTGCCACTGTTCAGCGAAGGCCAGTGCCAAGGGTGGGAGGTTTGGGCTCTGACTTGTTTGCTCCGAAGGAAGGTGTCTGCCTCAAGTCTTGCTTTGACTCCTCATGTGAGACCTCATTCCTGCCAGACTATTTGGGGAAGCTGAGTTATTCAGGGAAGAGAGTGCCAGAGGTGGTGCTTCTGCCCTGGCTCTTGCTCCAACTCCTTTGCTTGCACCACATCGCTGACAGCACGCTGCCTCCTTGGCTTTCCACTCCTTGGTCTACAGATAGTGTGTTGCCCACACAGCTCTTCTGTGTCTGCCACAGAACAGGGATATTGCAAACCCAGCTCCCAGCAGGCAGCATCTTCCCTGCAGGAAATGTGCAGGCACGTGGCTCCTCGAGTCCCTTCAGCTCCTGGGACTTGTGGGGACAGCTTTACCCCACTCTTTGGAAATGGCTGCAGCTTTGGAAGTGAGTGGATTTAGCACAAGCAGACCCAGACAGGGCATCCATCCCTTCTTTTGTTTCTGGGGATTGTGGGATGCCCCTTGGCTGGCACAAAGTGGGTTTTTGAGGTGAGGGCATGATAGACACTCCCTGTCTCTTGGAGTAGATCCACTGTGAAATAGCTGCATTTAGCATCTGAAGCCAGTTTGGGATTTGTAAGATGCTGCGGCTGTCCGGTCAGTGCACAGGATCTTTGCAGGACGGGTGACTGACAGACAGACTGCACAGAAGCCTGACAAGTCCCAAAACCTGCTTCTGTGCTCACCATCCCCTTTCTCAGTAGGGCTGAGACATTTAATGCCAAAAGCAGTGGTCAGCCAGGGCCCTCATTCTGAGCTGGCCTGCAAGCAAAAGGCCCCTTTGGTCTGTGGGGACCCAAAATAGCCCATGTATTTCTGTCCTGGACACTGGGACATGCAGAGGACAGAGCCAGCCTCAACTCACCACCGGCCAGTGGTGGTTGGCTCTTGCATGTCTGTCCCATCCTCTGCCAAGGGGGCTGCTGCTCAGTGGGGAGGAATTTCCTCTCTGAACTTTGGAAGCTGGGGAGATGGTGACACCAAAGGAAGATTGTGTTGTTCTGGCTTTGGTTTGGTTTCTCTGTCCTCCACTAAATTAGAAACAGCTGTGCAGCCCAGACCAGCCTCCAAAAAACTGCTGAGGTGGAGCAAAATAATCTCTGCTCCTGGGCCCCAAACAGGACTTGCAGCCTTCTGCTGGGCTGTCCAGTGCAACGGCAAGGTTCACTTTGCCCAGACCTGGGGGTGCTCTCCCACCTTATTGGGGGGCAGCAGCTCAGCAGCTCCCACTGGGCTTGGGCAGCTCTTGCCTGCTGAGGGTCCTGCCAGTTCTGCACCTTTGAATCTGGCTCCACAGAGGAAGGAGCCAGAGCTGGAAGGACAGCCTCTCTCCTGGGCAGTGGAGGTGCCATGGGGTGCAGGAGGTGACCAGGTGGCAGTGGGCAGGGGGTTGCTGCAGGCAGGTGCTCTCACTGCTGGTTGGCTACTGGCTTTTCCTGCTCTTCTAGAAGCATCCCTGTTTTGGGGACAAGTGAGAGAGGGCTCAGACTCTCCTTGGAAAGGAAGTTCCTGTAAAGTACAGGGTGGCATTTGGGGTGGGACAGTGCTTGAGCTGAACCCTCCAAGCCACTTCTGCCTTGCCCCTCACAGTAGTACTGTTTTGAGGACCTCTCAAACAGAACGTAAGCTGTCCCCATCCTTCTCCTCCAGACCCTCACTGCAGGTTTCTCCATGCTCAGCTCCCTTATGTTGTTCCTGGCCTGACTCCTTCCTGGGTCTGCCAGCTCTGAGCTCAGTCCTGTAAGCCAGCAACATGAAGGAATGAAGGGGGAATCATCTCCACTCTACATCTCTGCACCCTAGGGATGCCAGTGGCAGGTGGCCTCCTGCAGTCCTGCTCTTCCCCTCTGGTACTGCTCCCCAAGCCATGACCTTGGGGTAGCCATGTGTTGTTGGTAAACATGGCCCTACCAAGCTCAGGAGATGGCAGGCTATGGAAAAATTAATTTTACCCCTCTTTCATTCCTCAGCTGTAGGATTCTATCCACTGGGTTTCCTCCCACACATTCAGTGAGTCCTAATCTTCATACTTGTCTGGCTAGGAGCTGTTTTGCTGTGGGCTCCTCTTTCTGTGTTTCACCTTTGCCCTCCTCAGCTGCAGACAGGAGGGGGAAGTGGGACATGGTCCTGTAGGCTCAGCCCATCCCTCTGACCTGCTTAGCTGCTGCCCAAGGTGTGACCAACAAAGACACCATGGTGCAGAGGCGGGGATTCTTTTTGAGCAAGCATGAAAGCAGGGAAAAGGCTGATAATCCAAAAGAGGCGCATCTGGCAGCCAGATCCCACGGGGTCTTACTTAAGTGCTGTCCCAGCCCACCAGGGAGCATCCCTCCTCCCACCTCACTGTGTGGAAATAAGGACCTGCCTGTGGGCAGGCAAGAGCCATAACTGTGCCATGTGTTGTACATACTTGGGATTGCCTTTGTCCTCTGTGCATGGCTGTCCTGCATGTGGTGGCCTGTGCCACTCATGCATCAAGACCGAGGCTCGTCCATGCAAGGAGGACCAGCTCCACCTCAGGGCTGCCTCTGGCTGCTCCTTGTGCTCCCAGATGAATTTTCTATTAATGATATCTGGTTGTTCTGCCCAGGTATCCTGTAAGGTTTTCTCCATTTGGAAGCGGAAACGTGGTTTCCTGCCATTGTGCTTTTTCCTGCTGCAGCCCCCAGACTGATTAGAGGGAAGTACCCCTTCCCACAGCACTTCCCCTCCCCATGACCCCCAAGCAGTACCTCCACTGGCCATCCTGGTATCCCTGGGGATTTGGACCAGCCCTGCAGACATGGGCTGTGAGGGTCTGCCAGCTGCAGAGGATTGCTAGATGAGGATGAAGGTCTGGGGCAAGGCATCCCCAGGGTCTCCCCAAACCCATGGTGGTCCATCAAGAAGCCATGGTCAGGTGTTGTGAGCTGTGCATGCCCATAGTATGTATGCCCATGCATGTCCACTCTGTGCCCCTTCCCACCTCCTTACAGCTCCTGGAGGTGCTGAATGCTGCCTGGAAGCACCATGCAGATGGTTTCTGCCTGGGCTTGGAGGCTTCTGCAGCTGCATTGAGTGAAACCTTGAGCAAATCCCTCCCTCTGCCCTTGGGAGAAAAGGTGTTTATTTTTCTAAGTTTCCACAAATGGAGACTGAACCTTACCCTGGAAAAACATGTCTCCTTCCACAGCCTCCAAAGAAGCAGGCTGGGGTTGTGGCTTGGAGAGGACAGTCTTTTCCCTGGGGCAAGCAGCCTAAGTGGGTGCCATCAGAGAAACCAGCTTCTTGGAAGAATCCTGTCTCTGCAAACAGTCTCCTGAGATCAGCTTATCTCTCCTCCTCTGACGCCTGCTCATAATTTACGTTCCCCCCTGCTCCTGCCCTTCCCCAGGCACTTGTATCTCCTCCCGCATCCCCAAACCGCCAGCCCTGGAGAAGGCAACGGCTCCGATATTTGTGGGGCTTTTCCTACCTCTTCAAGGCTGCATTGTCGCTGCATTGTCCTGTGGCTTGAAGTGTCAAGGATCAAGGGGCTGGGACCGCCCTGCCCTTCTGGTAAGCTTGTTGCGGTGACATTGCAGTGTCCCTCTGCAGTGTTTGATGGGATGCTGGGCAGGAGCACCCATCTCTGCTCCTGGGGGGGTTTCTTTGGCCAGGGACCGGATTGCACCTGGGCTTGGGCACTCGCCATGTGCTGAGGACAGAGGTGGGTGAGTTCATCCTGGGGCTGCCATCAATGGCCTTTGACCAGCATTAGTCAGGGCTGGGAAACCCACTCAGCTGCCCTGCTGAAGAGGTGGATGTCCAGGGCTTCCTGGGACTCAGTAATGGCTGGGATAGTCCCAGCTGTGCCACCTGGGGTAGTTTTAAGGCTGGCTCTGTCCTATCACTGTTCTCTGCCCTCTACCTGATGGGAAGCCCTTCAGGGAGAGTGCTGGCGTCCCTGGGGAATTTACTGCCCAGCCAGGTCACTTTACCTGCCTGGGGCAAGGGCCCCCAGGGAGCCTCTCAGGGCTCCTTGAACTCTCCAGATAAGGAACTTCAGCCCAGGGTTGGTCTACGAAGTTCAAAACACACCAGGGCTGAATGCTCCCCCTGCACCACCCGGTATCTGAGATAACAGCAAGTGCTGGGAGCAGGGTCAGTATCCACAGCTGCTGCTTTGTGAGGAGTTTGTGGTTGGCCGCTAGTGCAGCAAGCCCAGAAGGGGTTTAGAGGTGCCTCTTCTTTTGTTCATGGAGGAGTGGAGGGAGTGGGTGAAATGAGTCAGAAACATTGCCCAGGGATCCTTATTCTGTGGGGTGAGAGTGCTGCACAGAGCACCTTGTAAGAGGTTTTTTCTGCTGTCCAAGTGCTGGCAAAGCAGAGGACTTGGTCTGCAGACAGCGAATCAAGGGAGAAAGCAGAAATACCTGCTCCCTCCTGCTCCCCTGCTAAGCTCTCTCCTCTAGACGGAGGCACAGAGTAGTGCTGGAAGAACAGAGGGCATCACAAGGCTGTTTACTGAGAGGCAGAGAGAAGAAGAAGAATAGGAAGTGTTATCAGTTTGCTGATGGAAACAGCTCACAAAGCACTCCAGGATTAGGAAACCTGCTTTAGAATGTTTTATGGATGAGGGATCAGAATAAGAGAGGCCATAGCAGAGAAGACAGATGAAGATTTTACCTCTCTGTTAGTTCTACAAGAGTCTGTGCAGTTTCTTCCACCTTCCTTTGGGGAGCTCCTCAGAGCAGAGGAAAGGTTAGAAAGCAAAGGTAAACATCAACAAGTGTTTGGGCCAGGCAATGTTCCCCAGAAGGAAAGGGAGGGTGAAATGACTGGTTGTGACTGTGACCTCTAGTCATTCATTTGCAACTGCTCCAGCCCCCAGGGACTGGATGGAGGGAAAGATATGACGTTATTTTCTAAGAAGGCTTGAAGGAACTTCAGGGAAAAACCGACTTCTGAATCTGCTGAATGTCCTAAGTGTCTGCAGGGACAGGGCCTGTGGCAGGTGGGGAGGCTCCTGTGGAGGGGCCCTAAGGACTGGAGCAGCACTTCCTAGGGAGTCTGGGCTCAGAGTGCCCACACTGCTTCCTCCAAAAAATCCCAGTCAGCTTTCAGCCCAGTTTTTAAGGGAGCTCGTTGGTCAAGAGGGAAAGTCCTTACTTGGCTCCATAAGTAGTATGAAAACAGGAGGGAGTATGTAGGAGTCAGCAGTCAGTTTTTCCAGAGAAAAGAGGTCTTTGCATTTGTCACATGTTTTTTCAACACATTTATGAGTGACCAGGAAAAGAGAATGAGCAATGAAATGACAGGGCTTTGCTGAGGTGATTGGATTACTCAGGTTCATGGGGACAAGTGCCAGCTAGGAGGAGCACTGACAACCATTACACCAGGCAACTGAAATTCAGTTTAGATAAATATCAAGTGATAGACAAGGGGGGGAAGGGAAGAAGCCCAAATCCACAAACAAGATTATGCACTGAGCCAGGCATGAGCTGGCCACTCACAACAAAGCAAAGCCAGGGGCTATTTCAGATAGCTCAGTGTGCATGAAAACACACACTGAATTATCTTTCCCAGTTACAAAGCAGAAACAAAGCAGGAACGCTTTGTGCCATTCTTCAAATTGGTGTCTCACCCCCACACAGTCCCTCTGTGCCCCCAGCACCAGCATCTCTTTAAGGACCAGGAGGAGCCAGGGAAGATTTGGAGAAAAGCAACAAGGAAGACTTGAAGGCATGGAGCCGTGCCTGAATGACTAAGTGAGCTAGAATTTCTGTTTGAAAAATGTGCTGTTGGGTGGATACAATCCAGGTCTGTAAAGCAGCCACTCCAATGTTCATCCACCCTTTGATGTTGAAGGCAAAGGAGCCCTGGTGAGGCCCTGTATGTGGGGAGACCTCCTACCCCCTCTCAGGAGCTCCTGAGTTGAAGGGGGAAGCAGGATTTCACAGAAGTGAAACCCACCATGGCTACAAAACATAAGAACATCATGTCCCTTCCAGCTCGGACGCTGGGGAAACAACTGGGCAGTTAGTCCACAACCAAGCCACATTTACTATTTCCTAGAATGTGCTGTTCCCTCTGATGGAGACCAGCCTTTGAGCTGGACCAGCCTCTGCTCTGACTCAAGGCACCTGCCTGCCCTTGTTTTGGGAGGGCTTGTTTTTGGCTCACCACCACAGCGGTGGTGTGCAACTGTGCGCACTCATCTGTCTTGTGAAATACAAGCATGTGTCCTGAAGGTGGAGGTGCAATTCCCTGCACTCCAGCACAAGGTAGGAGGACCCACAGGCAGCATGGTCAGAGTTCAGGCATGCATATGAAATCTCATTAAAGGGGCAGTCTGTAAGTGTTTCCTATCTTCCAGCTGAGTCATGGCCACCAAGGTTTCATGTGACTTGCATACCTGCAGGCTTGTTCCGTGCCTGCAGATAAACTTGAGGGGCCCCTGGATCAGCCTTCCTCGTGGGAGAACTCTGGTGTCGCCCAGTGGGCAAGCACACATAGGGGATGGGGTGAAAGGCTGGTGGGGCAACTGGTCCTGTCCCATCTTGGCCATGCTTGGAGGAAGTACTGACATCCCTGCAAAATGATCCCCTGACAAGTGGTGTCAGGAGGACACGAGGTGCTTGCTGGTGAATTTGCTGGTAACTCCTTGGCTATGGACTGCCAGGACACTTCTACACTTGGTGTGATGTAAACGGCTTTTCTTTAAAAATTGGGTGTTTCTGGGTATAATTCCATGGTGCTATAGCATGCCTACATGGCACCAGGGAATTGCTCAAGTGGGAAAATAAGCATGCATTGTGCTCACGGTTGGTGAAAGCAGCAGGAGCAGAGGAAAAGGTAATGTGGGGAAAGGGAGAGGTAGGGAAGTATCCAAAGCCAGGTGACAAATGGCTGCGTGCAGGTGTGGCTGTCCTGCAGTGTGGGTTTTTCTGCAGACGTTAAGCAATTTTGGTGACAGCTGGCCCTGCCGTCAGCTCCCAGGGCTCGGCTGGCAATGGGGCTGCACATGGCCACCAAGGGTGTCACTCAGTATTTGTCACAGCCTTTTGAGCGTCCTGAATGGGCAATTAAAATTGTGCCATCTCTTGTTTGTACCTGCTCAAATGTTCTAGCTTATGGTTTGTTAAGCCCACTCTTTGTGACCTTGCTTCTTCTACTTACACATTGCTTCCATGGAGTTCAGACAGACTGCTCTATGCCCAGGAAGAAAAGGGATGTCCTTATGCCGAGGCGCTACATCACTCCTCATTTCCTGTGTCCCTCAGGATGTGCGGCTACCACACTGGTGGCTGAGCTAAACATCAGCAGACTCCTGCGGGGGGCAGTTGGAGCTGTGCTGTGCCAGCTGGAAGAGTGGCATCTCTTCCCATGTCCCATCGGGTAGGGCAGCTCTTCCCAAGTGGGAGCAGGGTTGCCATCTGTTGCTGGTGTTGGTTCACAGGACCTTTTCTGTTTGTTGTAGGGTTCTTTGTAACAGCCAGCAGCTGGAAGTGTTTCCTGCTGTAATGACTGCTGACCTTGGCAGGCACTGTCTCTTTGTGGAAAAAATTAGGAGGTATTTAGCCAGTGAGACAGAAAACAAACAGAACAGGCAGGAGACTGCGGCCGGGCAGTGCCTGCCAAGGAGGCTGGGCTCCTGACGCAGGGATGTGGGCACTCTCTGGACGGAAGCAGGAGGTGGTGGGAAAGCAGCATGGTGGCGCGCCCTGCCCCAGCACCCCCAGAGTCCTACTCCCGACCCCCCCAGCCTCCTTCCCAACAGCCTTCTGTTCCTCTCTTCCCTGGATGGTTGGGCAGCAGGACCTGGGCTGCGTGCCAGCTCTGGTACCCGATACCTCTTCTCCTCCTCCGCGGGTGCCGCTAGACCCACAGGGCTCCAGCCCCCGTGACTTGAGCCAGGGCCTGCCACTCACCCCCAAGGGCGAGAGGTGTAAAAGCAGGGGGACACACTGCCTTCAAATACTCCGAACACAGGGCTCACCCTGGCTCTGTCCGCTCTCCCAGGTATGTCTATGGGGTCAGTCCCTGCCTCTATTTCTAGGGACAGCAATGTGACCTGGTGGGGGCTGGAAGGGGGGTCAGTGGCTTGGCTGGCAAGGGGAAGCATGCAGGGGCTTGCTGGGGACCCACGGGGGAAGCTGAGGTTCTTTTGCCTGTTTTGGGTTGAGATCAGTTTGCTTGGAGACAAGCATTGGCCCCGGTGGGGTCTCTGTGCGTGAGGGGATGGCAGTTGTGTTTGCAGATCCCTCTGCTAATCCCCCGTGAAGATGCCTTCTCCCCACAGAGGCACTGGCAGGCTGCCAGGAGGGGATTTTGGGGTGTTTTCTCTGGAAGCCCAGATAGCTCACAAGGGCAAGGTAGGACCTGTCATGCCCCTGAGCTCTCAGTGTGGGAACACAGGTGAGCAGTGCTGCAGATGGCTCCAACATGAACAGGGTGGCACCTGCCGGGTTGGCAAAGCCTTCAGTCCTTTGCAGGCATACTGTTATCCTGCTCTGTCTTTCCCAAGTGGTCTAAGGGGCTTCCAGAATCTCTCTCCACATCCCACCGGCTATGTTTCGGCTCCATCCTAGCTCAGGATCCCCAGCCTGCAGGATTCTACTGGAGGAGGAGGCGAGCCCTGTGCAGAGCCCCACAGGCACCTGCGCCAGGGACGGGCTGCGCTGCCTTCAGTGCGTGTCCGTGCTGGCAGGGACTACAGATCCCAGCATGCTGCTGCCTGCCTCCTCCTCCTCCTCCGCCCTACTTGGCGGGGCGCGGGCAGGGATGCTGCGGGCGGCGTTGGAGCAGGCGGCCGCGGGGCATGTGCCGGGGGTGCCGGGGGCACGGTGCCGGCAGCCCTGCTGCAGGTGAAGCCCTGGGAGGAATTCCGGAGCACCTCATGCTGCGCCGCCACGACTGGAAAAGGACAAGGCAGGCCTGCGGTTCCTCCTGGAGGCTAATCCCACTCTGGCCCGGGAAGAGGGGGTGACCGGGGAGGGAAAGTCCCTTCTCGGGGCTCTGGAGGCTGCGTCTCTGGGGCTCTCCGAGCGATGCCTGAGCGGTGCAGCGCCTGGCCAGGTGGTGACGGAAAAAAGGAGCGGTGGTGCGGGAGGGGACAGCAGTGCCAGGGACGCCCTTGGCTTTTCAAGGTGACCCAGGAAAGGGCTGTGAGAGCCCCAGGGAAGTGGAATTGAAAACGGGAGATTTGCTGGTTCTGGCCGGAGAGGCGGCTGAATTAAATGTGTCTTTTGTGCCACCGAGCCCGGGGCGTTGGAGGGAGCTGGGGCGGGCAGCGGGGGCGGACACAGCCCACTGTGCACATGCTTCACTCACAGCCCCAGGATTGGAGACAGAGAGCTTTAGGTTCACAAATCCCTTAAGAGCCTGCTGCAAGCTGCTGGGCAGCCAGCATGAGCAGCCTGGGTATCTCGGGAAAGCAGTTTCCTTTCGGAGGGAGGGCTTGCTGTGCCCGGCCAGCAGAATGTGTCACAACCCCTTGGCTTAAGGACTCTGAGCTGCAGGTTTCCAAAGCTCCTGCACTGTCTTCTTGTCATTTTCCGGGTTGGTGTTTGGCTCTCAGTACTGTGGAACACTTACTGGCAGCATGGGTTGGGGTTAAAACCAGTGCTGCTCCTGCCCGGCATGTATCTCTCACTTTCCCATAAAATCTGTTTGCTTTCCAGACGGAGAACAGCCATAAGACTTGCTGGGACCTGTGCTGACGCTTGCTTCACAAGATGACAGCAAGAGACGGGCCCCAAGATAGGTAATGATGGGTTCTGATGTAGCTGTGGGGGCACATCCAGGATACCAGGAGGTGAGACAGCACACGAGGACCTGGCATCTGGGAGACCCCCTCTCCTGCGTGCTAATTGGGCTACCAAGCTGTCCCGTCTTTCTCAGCTTTTCCATAGCAAATGGGCTGGAAACTGTAAACAGTCCCCTGTAAACATGCCTGGGGAGCCTGACCCCCTCCCAGATCTGGTGATGGATACTGCACATGCTGAGGAGCAGCCAGCCTCTCCCTGCCTTTGTAGCCTCCTGGGGAGTGCCTCCCACAGCCCCTCTGCAGTGCCACATCTCTGGCAGCCCAGGCTAGCAAGGGCTGTGGAGCAGGACAATAAATATTGTCTGGTGCTTCCCACCGCAGGGTCAGGGACAGTCAGAAGCAATATCCAACTTCCGTTTCAAACCCCACTCTGTCCCCTTCTCAGGTACAAGGCTGTCTGGCTGATCTTCTTCATCCTCGGCCTGGGAACGCTGCTGCCATGGAATTTCTTCATGACCGCCAGGGAGGTGAGGGCTTCCTTCCTGCTGTTTTCCATAACAGCAATTGTCCCCCGTCATGTCTAGGAACCATGGTGTAGGTATGGCAGCATGGCACAGCATGCAGAGGACCACAAGCATATGTGACCTGGGTGTGACGAGTGGCACTGAGGCAGCAGGAGGGATGGGCATGGGTCTGGACAAAGAATAAGGGTGGCCTTGGAAAGCCTCACAGAATCTCAGCCCCACCAGGCTCCTTCCTTTGCAGTATTTCATCAGTCGCCTTAAGGACCCGGAGGAGACAAGCCACGTCAGGAACCAGACTGGCAAGGCCACCTTCACACCCTCCTATCTGCAGTCCGTGTTTGACAACTTCATGACTCTCTGCGCCATGGTGCCTCTCCTTATCTTCACCTGCCTCAACTCCTTCATCCACCAGCGGTGAGCCTTGCTCTGTCCTTGCCCCTGCCAGCCCCCATGGGGCCACCCAGCCCTGGCCTGTTCTCCTGTCCCAGCACTAAGCCAAGCTACAGTCCGTTTGGTCAAGTCAAAGGCAAAACACTGGTATCCTGTTTGAGGGTTTGGCTGGGATTCCTACAGTTAGAGCTTGGTCCCAGCCCCAGGTTTTTAGGGGGTTGAGTTTTCCTCACTGAGACCTTCTTTTGTAGGATTCCCCAGCAGATCCGCATCTCAGGCAGCCTGGTGGCGATTGGGCTGGTGTTTTTAGTCACCGCGATCATGGTGAAAGTCCCCATGGACCCTCTTCCCTTCTTCGTCTTTACCATGATCAGCATTGTCTTCATCAACTGTGAGTGAAGCAGTGGGGGAAGGAGAAGGACACAGTCCCATGGCTAGGGCTGAACCCTCTGGGAGAAAAGCATGAACCTCACTGTGGGAGAGGCAAGGGGGAGGGGGACTTGCTTTACTTAACAGGGCAGGGGTCTTGGCTCCCTGCAGAGGTGCAGTCCATCCTTGTCTTTGGTTTCTCATTTCTGCTCCTCTTTCCCCTTTGCAGCCTTCGGTGCCATTCTCCAGAGCAGCCTGTTTGGGCTGGCAGGGCTCCTGCCTGTCAGCTACACAGCCCCCATCATGAGCGGGCAGGGCTTGGCAGGCACCTTCGCTGCTTTGGCAATGATCTTCAGTATTGCCAGTGAGTAATCCCTGCCTTGCACATGACAGGGCCTTCCCAGATCACTGCTGTCACAGCATCTGCCGAGGTAATGCTGTGTGGAAGACGGCAGCGGGGCCTTGCTCCTCTCAGCTGTCATCATCTTCCTTTCCTCTCCCTTCCTGTGCTATCAGTTGGTGCCCAGCAACCCGAGAGCTTCATCGGTTACTTCACCACCGCCTGTGTGACGATCGTGCTGGCAATCGTCTCCTACGTAGTTCTGCCTCACATGGTGAGACTGCTGTCTTGGTAGGGAAGGGCTTGGGGACATCGGACCTTGGCACATCCCAGCGCAAGAACCGTGGCCCACTAGCAGCTTCCACCTCTTGTGTTAGGGCAGGTTCTCCTGTGTCCCAAGGGAGCACTCTGGGATACTTCCCATCACAGATACCTGTATATTTGGGGTATCTGAGTCCCTGGGTAAGCAGGAAAGCATCAATATCAGACATAATTGAAAGGAATACTTTGCCCATATTGCCCATATCTGCTGTTGTCACACAGCCCCTGGCAGCCTTCTTTCTGCACGCATGGATGAGTCCTCCCTGCTGTCTCTCTGCAGGATTTCTTCCGATACTACTCCATGAAGGACAAGACAGAGTACCGCGTGTACAATGCAGAGCTGGAGACCAAGAGAGACCTGATTAAGAAAGGTGAGGGGCTGAGAGAAGGAAGAGAAAAGGGAAAGAGGTTAAAGAAAGAATGAGATAGAAGGACTGAGTTAGATCTTGGCTTTTTGGGGTCTGCTATGCCCTACTTGTGTCTCTCCCTGCAGACGAGAATGGGATGGAGCAGAATAACTCAAAGATCATCCCTATCCACAACCCTGATGAGCAGCCCTCTGTCATTGCTATTTTTAAGAAGGTCTGTGAGTTTCCAGCAAGCCTTGTCCTGCCCTTCCTTTCGGGATGGGCGCAGGTGTAGGAGAGCATGGGGAGAGGAGACCAGCCCTGCACTGGTCTCTTGCCCTGTGTTTGGTACCAGCATTTTTCTTTCATCTGCCTAGCTCTGGGTCTTGGCTCTGTCTGTCTGCTTCGTCTTCACTGTCACCATCGGCGTCTTCCCTGCCATCACAGCTAAAGTGTCCACTGTCCTTGGAGAGGGAAACAAATGGGGTAAGTGTGCCAGGGATGGAGGTGAGGTAGGAAAAACCTGAGAACAAGGTAAATGGGAGAAAAGAAGGTGGGGCTTGAGGGTATGTGTGGTGGGGTAACCCTGTCTGGATGCCAGGTGCACACCAAAGCCACTCCAGCTGGACAGGAGAGATAAAATATGACAAAAGGCTTTTGGGTCCAGATAAAGACAGTGAGAGATCACTCATTAATTACTGTCACAGGCAAAACAGACTCAATGTGGGGAAAATTAATTTTATTTATTTACCAGTCAAATCACAGTAGTATAATGAGAAATAAAAATTGAATCATTAAACACCTTCCACTCACCCCTCCCTTCTTCCCAGGCTTAAGTTTATTTACGATTTCTTTATCTCTTCCCTCTGGAGTAGTGCAGGAGGTTGGGGAATGAGGGTTGCAGTCAGTTCTTCACACATTTCCTCTGCCACTGCTTCCTTCTCAGGGGGAGAACACTTCTCTTTCCCTCCTCCAGCATCGGGACCCTCTCATGGGAGGCAGTCCTCCTTGAAGTCCAATGTGAGTGCTTCCCACGGGCTGCAGTTTTTCACGAACTGCTTCAGCCTGGGTCCCTTCTATGGGACACAGTCCTTCAGAAACAGACTGTTCCAGTGTGGGTCCCCTGCAGGGTCGTAAGTCCTGCTGGCAAACCTGCTTCACAGTAGGGTGGTCTTCACAGGCAGCAGGTGGATATTGACTCACTGTGGACCTCCTTGGGCTGCAGGAGGGCAGTCTGCCTCACCATGGTCTTCACCACACGCTGTAGGGGAATTTTTGCTCTGACATCTGGAGTGCCTTCTCTCCCTCCTTTTCCACTGGTTTTGGTGTCTGCAGAGCTGTTTCTGTAACATAGTCTCACTTCTCTCTCTGGGTGCAATTGCACATGTTGCAATTTTTTTTTTTTTCCCTTTTTAATATGTCTTCCCATAGGCCCTACCACTGTCACTGGTGGCCTTCGCCAATGGTGGATCTGTCTTGGAGCCATCTGACATTAGCTCTGTCAGACTTAGGAGTGCTTCTAGCAGCTTCTTCAGAAGCCGTCCTGTAGCCCACCCTGTTACTGAAACCTTGCCACACAAACCCAATACAGAATGCTGGAAGGGAAGAGGGAACCACTGTGCGTGATGGTTTGGATGTGGACGCCAGCCCGGCTGGGAGACCATTCCAGGCCTTAGTGGGAAACTAGACCTGAAAGACAGTCAGTCTCTGTGCAGTGGGTATGAGGGACTGGGACGCACTTGGATTCTCACTGACCATCCCCTTCTTCAGGTCTCTACTTCATTCCTGTCTCCTGCTTCCTGCTCTTTAACGTCTTTGACTGGACAGGACGGAGTCTCACTGCCCTCTTCACATGGGTAAGTATGGGGCAGGGAGCAGATGCCAGGCAGTGTCTATCCTTAGGTCTTTCAGCCACAGCTGTCACTGGGGATGTTATCCATGGCTTGGAGAAGGAAGGAGGTGCAGAGATAACTCCTGCTTTAAGTTCTAAGCACAGATTATGGGTCAGAGCCAAAAACCACAGTGTTGTCCTGTCCTCCCACTTCTCTTTCGACATGGTTTGGATGAAGCTGCCTCCTCCATTTCAGCTTCTCTGTAAACAAACCTTCACTCCAGCTATGCAAACGACGAGACAGGATGGCAACAGGGAAAGACGGTGAAAGACAGGGCAGCCCAAAATAAACCTCTGGCCTTGGCACAGGACACAGCCGCTTCAAAGACCCTTGTCCTGAGAGCAGGGCAGGGCCATGCCATGTGGGTCACAGTAATGTCCACTGCCACATCCCCTTGCTCTTATCTCCCCAGGACGGACAAGGAAAGGGGCTTTCTTGTCTGGGTCTCTTCCTGCCCCTTCACCCACTGCCCAAACACTGTTTCCCCCTGTATTGTTCAGGCTGTTTGTTTAGAGAAGCTCCTCAGGACCACATGCTGCATGGGGTCTGCCTAGGCCTGCCTTCCCCACGGCCTGGAGCTGCTTCTCCGCTGGCCATCACTGCTTGTTGCCTTCAGTCTTGGCCATGAGCCGCCTTGTCTGGGTGTCCAGGCCACAGCCTCCATGATGGGATGACCCAGCGGGAGATGTTTCCAAAACAAGGCAGTGTGGAAAGTCTGACTGCATGTGGTTTGGGCCACATTTCCCTGGTTGGGGCCCCGCTCACTCTTGTTCTCCTCAAGTAGGAGAGGCAGCTGCTGTCTCCAGTTTGCCTCATAGACACGGCAGCTGGCCTAACCTCAGTTTCCTCCTGTGTTCATGGAGTTTCCTGTGGCCATGCCAGCCCAGCAGCTCCCAAGGCAGCTGTGGGTCTCTCCTTGCCTCAGACCAGTGAACCCTGACATTTGTGAACCTGGCACCTCACTGAGGGGATGAGGCCTGTCTCGGTCCAGGGGCTGCCATAGTCCCAGCTGCAGGGACAACACAGGGGGATGGTACCTCCTTCTTTGTCCCAGCCTTAGTTGCTCAGGAACTCTAGTAGGATCTAAGGAGACTTTAACTTGGTCCATGCTTTTCCCAGCACATTCCAAAACAAGCTCAGCATAATCCCTTTCTCAGATTGCTGGATCTTGCCCTGCTTGCTGGAGGATGGCGTAGGATGGTGAAGAGCTGGCTAAAGCCCAGTTTGCAGGCACTGAGGTGCCAGAGGGGATTTACCTCAGCCACCCGTGTTCTGCATGCTGGCTCGCTGCATGAGCGTGCACAAAGCTCTCTTGCCTGCCTGTCTATTGCCAGCAAGGGCTTAACAGTTGCCCACAAGCCTGGCTCAGTATTTTGGCTCTAGTGCTGCTTCAAGTCACCTGTGACAGGGCTTTCAGATCTAGAACGTACTTATGACTGCAGATGGTGATGCTGAGATTTGTTGAAACCGAGAAAGTCTCTCAGCAGCTTTGCCATCTCTGTGGCTCCTCCTGTCCCTGGCACAATAGGGACAGCCTCTGTAGAGCCCCTGCCAGCATGCCATGGGATCGGGAATGTCCAGTTCTCAGTGGCTCAGTGATCTGTGTTTTTCTCCCAGCCCGGGATGGACAGCTGCCTCCTGCCAGTGATGGTGGTCCTCCGTGTCATCTTTGTCCCTCTTTTCATGCTGTGCAACGTGACACCCCGTTACTACCTGCCTGTCGTGTTCTCTCATGATGCCTGGTACATCGTCTTCATGATCTTCTTCTCCATCTCCAATGGCTACCTGGCCAGCCTTTGCATGTGCTTCGGGCCAAAGTGAGTGTGAGCTGGGGACAAGGGAAGGGTTGGTTATGCCCCCAGCTGCCAGCCCTGGAGTGACTTGTGGAATCTAGCTCTGCCCAGCTCTGGCATCTGGAGAAGAGGCTGCAGGCGCAGAAGGGAATTGTCACTATCCACAGTGTCCCATCTCCCAGGCTTGTGCCTCCATATCCTAGGGATGAGGGAGCTATCTGGGCTATCCATTTTCCCCACCTGCCACATGGGAAGGGGCTGGATGCAGCGGGGATCTGGAGGGGAGCAAAGCATGGCACAGCACCCACAGTAGGGTGAGCAGCCTTGCCCAGCACAGGCAGCACAAGGAGCCCCACAGGAGTCAAAGAGGGATGTCCCTGGTGCCAGGAGCTTCAGGGTGGCCTGTCTGATGCACTGTATGAGCCAACAGTGTGGAGACTTGGAGCTCTTGTGGCTCTGGGAGCCAAGGGGGATTTCTTCTTGCCACTCCTCTGCCGCAGACAAGCTTCCCAGCTCCACTGAACAGCAGGGCACTGGACATGCATCCCGAGTATGGATCTGATACCTGTTTTTCCCCTAGGAAAGTGCTTGTGCACGAAGCAGAGACAGCTGGAGCTGTCATGGCATTTTTCCTGTCACTGGGCTTGGCTCTAGGAGCTGCCGTCTCCTTTCTGGTCCGAATTCTCATCTAGCAGAGGCACACAGAGGGTGCAGGGACACCAAGAGATGGCTCCGCATCCTCCACTGAGGCCCTGGACTCCTCAGCACTGTGGGGAAATAACAGCTTCCACCCGTTCCTGCCAAATCACACTGCCACAGCAGACATTACACCCAGGGACGGTTCCACTCCTGCAGGGTTGGCCTGGTTCCTGCCATGCTCAGCTGTGTGACGCCTTCAGGCCTATGTGCCTTCTCCTTCCCTATGCTGTGTGTGTTGTAAGACCCCCAGGATCTCCAAGAAGTCCAGCTGCCTCCCATGCTGCATAACTTTTCTGGCTCAAGGCCAAAAGCCATTTTCAGCCTCTTTCTCTCTGAGAGAGTGAAAGGCTCATAACTAGTATTACTCTTTCTCTTGCCCTTGTCTCCAAAGCATCTAGGAGATTCTCTCCTCTCCTCCTAGGCAGCCTGGAAATACCCCACATCCCTCTTCCTGCTGGTAGACTTGTGGAGGGGGAGGAGAGCACCAGCTGGCCTCATCATCCCTGCTCTCTGCTATACGCACATCCTCCTGCCCAGTGGTATCCCAAAAGTGTAGACATCTGTGTCCCAGCCACAGAAAGAGCCAACACTGTGGCTAGGCTGAGGGAGGAGGAGGTCTCCACACCCCACCTTCTCCCCCTCTCCTTGCTTCTCTTATCTTTTTTTTTTGTTGTTGTTGTTTTTTATTTTGTTTTTTGTTTTTGGTGACTCTGACATTGGTCTTTTTTCAGCCTCCTGGTTGTGTGACAGGAGGTTCTATTGTGGGTTACAAGAGGAAAGGCAGCAACTCCCTTCCCAACAAAGCTGCCTTCCCTACCCATGTGTGCTACAAGGGAAGGCCTCACCTCTCCCTTGGCTTTCCTGTCCCTTGTTGTGTAAATGTGTCTATACAATTGCCATTTTCTATAAAAAGAACAAAATGCTCCTTTGGGTATGTGTTTTTGTCTCTGTCGCCACAGGGGAGAGGGGCTGTGGAGGGTCATGGGTTGAAGTGAGAAGGCACCGGCATTTCTTTACTATCCTGTAGCCCCCTGCAGCCAGCATCAGAAATGGTGGGAATGGTGTGTGCATGCCCTGCACAGCCAGGCCCAGCTAGGACACAGCCAGTGTGGGAAGGGGATCATAGAAGTATAAAATCAGAATGGTTCAGGTTGCAAGGGACCTTGAAGAGCATCCAGTTCCAAACCCCCTGCCATGGGCTGTGACAATTTCCACTTCACCAGGTTACTTGCAGCCCCATACTGCCTGGCCCTGAAGACTTTGGGGGGTGGGGCACCCACAGCTTCTCTGGGCAACCTGTTCCAGTGCCTCTTCACCCTCAGAGTAATAAATTTCTTGCCCAATATCTAAAACTTCCCTCTGTTTGAAACCATTCCCCCTTGTTCTGTAGCTAGATACTCTTTGTCCCTATCTGTCTGTATTGTAGGTCCCCTTCAGGTACTGGAAGGCCACAATTAGATTACAACAAAGCTTTCTCCAGGCTGAACAATCTAAATTCTCTGAGACATTCCTTGCAGAAGTGCACCAACCCCCTGATCATGTTGCTGCTCCTCCTAGGGACTATCTCCAACAGGGCAAGTCCTTCCTGTGCAGGGGACCCCAGAGCTGGATGCAGCACTGCAGGTGGGCTCTCACCAGAGCAGAGGGGCAGTAAACTGTCCCTTGCCCTGCTGGCCGTGCTGCTTTGGATGCAACCCGGGACACCACTGTCTTTTTGAGCTGTGGGTGCACATGGTGAAGCCTCTCATCCACCAGCACCCCAGGGATGCTGCCCTCGAGGTACACCAAGGGAACACTGACACCTTCGATGAAGAGCAGATGCACCTTCATACTTGGAGGTGCAGTGCCCTGCAGCACAGCACCTGGCAGCTTTCCTTGTGCCTGGGAAAAAACAGAGTGCCACCTCCTGCTGCTGGGGTGAACTACACCAGCCTGCCAGCGGGAATCCCCCTCCCTCTGTCCCACATCATTCATTCACAGCCATCACCTCTTTGCACCACCAAGCACCAAAACCTATGTGGGAGCTTGGGTCCCCTCATCCCACTTCCAGCTTCCAGGGCTTTTGTACCGACAGCTTCAACACAGAATCACAAAATGGGTCAGGTTGGAAGGGACCACAGTGAATCATCTGGTCCACCATCTCTGCCTAAGCAGGGTCATCCTGGAGCACAGGGCGCAGGATTGTGTCCGGATGTGTCTTGAGCATCTCCAGTGATGGAGTCTTCACAGTCTCTGTGGGCAGTCTCTTCCAGTGCTGCGTCACTAACACAGTAAGTAAGTTCTTATGTATTTTCAGGCAGAAGTTCCTGTGCATCAGTTTGTGGTTTCTGCCTCTTGTCCTATTGCTTGGCAGAGGCAAGCAGAGCCTGGCTCTATCCTCCACCCCCTTTCCTTGAGATACTTATATACATTGATGAGCTCCCTTCTCAGTCATCTCGAGGCAGAACAGGCCCAGCTCCCTCATCCTTTCCTCTTAAGAGAAATGCTCCTGTCCCTTAATCATATTTTTTACCCTCTGCTGGACCGACTCCAGGGGCTCCACGTCTCTCTTGTACTGAGAAGCTCAGAAATGGACAGAGTACTGCAGATACTGGAATGGTAAGGCTTAAGACTGATTGACACTGAAAGGACAACGTCTCCGAACACGGTTTTGCAACCTCGACACAGGCCGCCCATACACTGCGGCACTGACACCGTCTGTCCCCGCCCCTTCAGCCGCTGTGCTTAAGTACCACGCAGCCTCAGGCCAGCAGAGCTACGCGGCTCCCGGCCTCGAGGGGAGCTGCGGGATGGGGCTGGGGCAGTGCGGATCCCGCTTCCGTGCCCCAGCCATGGAGCCGAAGCGGCGCCGCCGTGGTGGGATACTGGGGAAGCGCTTTTCCAGCCGCAGCTGTATTCCTCCTGGCCGGGGCTCTAGGAGGTCCCGGGGCCGAGGGCGGCAGGAAGCCGAGCATTTATTGCACGCCCGCCCCCGCCATGGCCGCCGCTAAACGGCAACGCCGGTGTCTCCCGTACCCCATCGCTCTGCGGTTCCCTGACCGAGACCCCTTTACAGCGGAAGGACACGGTGCGCCGTGAGCCTGCCCCCCTCGTTCCGTGCTATGGAAAGCAGCCGGGGGGTCAGTGAAGCGCTTTCGCCGGTCCCTTACGCCCGGGACGGTAGGGTCGGAGCGGGGCATGGGGCTGGGCCTGATGCCCCCATCACCCACTCTCTGGGTCTCGTGCCCTGAAAATAGGCATGTGTTTGTGAAAAATGCATATTTATGATTGGCTTTTCGCAAATGTTACTATGAATATTATATGTGTAATGTTAAAAAGTTATGCTGTATTAATTCTCTTACGTATTGTGTTAAGTGTAGTTTTAGGTTACAACATAATGTTAAAATAGAGACTAGGTATGTGGGGGGTTTAGGAATGATACACTTGCTTAGAGGAACACCTAAATCTTACAAAGGAGAGGAATTTACGGCTTCTTATCAGAAGAAGCTAATTTCTTCAGGCCTTGCTCAGACTCCAAGACGCCAGGGGATTAAAGGAAACAGTTGACATACAACAGAGTTTCTTGTTTAGAATAGAATGTATGCATAACCATGAAGGATGTATGAATATGCAACAAGTGTATTGGTTTAAGGGTGATTCCTTTGTTCACAAGTCATGCTTTTAGTGACTTAGTAATTCTTTGCTTTTTATTGTCTTGTAATTGTCCTAACTCTAAACTTTATTACTCTAATTGTATTATTATTTTTATAACCATTTTATTATTATTAAACTTTTAAAATTTTAAAAACCAAGTGATTGGCGTTTTTCACGTTTGTCTTGTAGATGCCGGAGAAAGTGCAGCACGAGGAGGAGGATATGGAGACCTTCGCCTTTCAGGTGGAGATTGCCCAGCTCATGTCACTCATTATCAACACCTTCTATTCAAATAAGGAGATCTTCCTGCCGGAGCTCATCTCCAACGCCTCCGACCTACGTGAGCCCGGGTGGGAGTGGGCTCCTTCCTCTGCCTGCGGGCTTGGAGTCGGGCTGGTGTCCTTCCAGGGGTGCCTGGGAAGAGGCAGACTCCTGGCTCTCCGGGAAGGCTTGTGCAGGGGAGGGATGGAGAAGGCTCTTGAGTAGGGAGGTTGTGTCGAGCATCCCTCTCCCCCTAGGCCCTGGAGAAGATCCGCTATGAGAGCCTGACTGATCCCTCCAAGCTGGACAGTGGGAAAGACCTGAAAACTGACATCATCCCCAACCCCCGGGACCGCACACTGACTCTGGTGGACACTGGCATTGGGATGACAAAAGCAGACCTCATCAACAACCTGGGCACCATTGCCAAATCTGGGACCAAAGCCTTCATGGAAGCACTGCAGGTGGGCTGCCTTTGGCTGCATGTGTTTCCCAGCACCTGGGTCACAGGCTGGCACTGAATGTACAAATAATGAATAAACAATAAAAAGGCCCTGCCGCCTTGCTTGCTGTGGGAAATGTTGGCCTACTCAAGTTTGCTTTCCCCATCTTTCCAACACCAAGGAGGAGCTGAGCATAGAGCTGGTTGCCTGTTGGTACTTGCATGTTTTTCTCCGTGTGCTTGACCCAGTTCTTTGCTGCTGTGAATCAGTCACAGACATTTTCTGCCTGCACACTGGTCTTAGCAGCTGCTCTCTGCTTTCACAGGCTGGCACAGGAATCTCCATGATCGAGCACTTCAGTGTGGGTTTCTATTCCGCCTATCTGGTGGCTGAGAAGGTGGTTGTCATTACCAAGCACAATGATGATGAGCAGTATGCTTGGGAGTCATCAGCTGGGGACTAGTTCACTGTCCGAACTGACCATGGTGAGTATTGTACAAAAAACGAAGCATGTTTTCCTGCCAGAAGCACCCCTTTCGCTGGTGCTCCTTAGAGCCGTGCTGTGCTGTCAGCCACACTGGTTAATGTTGGGTACCACATAACATTTAGGGTCGAGGAGCTGGTCACACTTGCTGTCTGCCCTGAAATACTGATGTTTCTCTTCCCACACTGCAGGTGAGCCCACTGGACGTGGCACCAAAGTGATCCTATACTTGAAGGAAGACCAGACTGAGTACTTGGAGGAGCGTTGTGTGAAAGAGGTGGTGAAGAAGCACTCCCAGTTCATTGGCTACCCCATCATGCTCTATGTACGTAAGGAAAGGACTGTGTGGACCAACTAGAAAGCTGGAGGCAGGGATGGTGGTGTTAGAAACAGGAGCACATTGTATGGTCCCTTCTGTAGTTCCTGGCTTCTGGGTACTGAGCAGTGGTGCTCTCAGCTTCTGTGGCCAAAGGTGGTTTGAGGCTGGGGGCTTACTAGAGGTGAAGGAGGTGGATATCCAGCCACACTAAAGGCCTTTGATCTCTGTAGCTGAAGATCATCTTAAATCAGCCATGGAAAAAGGAGGGTTCCTGCCACTTTTCTCAGGCACAGCTTTTGGTTGTATGATGAAGGGCTTTTGAGGACTGGTTCCAAGAGCTTTGACTCCAGCTGATGCATTTGTTTGGACTTGGAAGATACCATTTTTCTCATCTGGAGCTAAAGGATTCTTGGTAACTTCAGACTAAACCTAGCTATTGCTTGTTTGTTTCTCCACAGCTGGAGAAAGAACATGAAAAAGAGGTCAGTGATGATGAAGCAGAGGAGGAAAAGGATGAGAAGGAGGAAGAGTCAGTGTCCAAAGATGAAGAGAAACCCAAAATTGAGGATGTGGGCTCTGATGAGGAGGAGGAGGGAGACAAAGGCAAAAAGAAAAAGACCAAGAAAATCAAGGAGAAATATATTGACCAGGAGGAGCTGAACAAGACCAAATCAATTTGGACCTGCAACCCTGATGACATCACCCAGGGGGAGTATGGCGAGTTCTACAAGAGCCTCACCAATGACTGGGAGGACCATTTGGCTGTCAAGGTGGGTGCTGGGCTACCCTGCCTTCCAGGGAGAGGCAGAGGGCCCCTTTCCAGCCCTTATCCAGAGTCACCACATAGATGTGCCTCTGTGGGACTGAGCACTCTCAGGCCACTTGGTGATGGAGCAACCTGCACTGTGACTCCCATGCAGGTGGAAGGATTGGCAGTGCCAGTCCATAAGCAAGACAGGAGGATGTGGGGTCTCAGAGAAGCACTGACTTCTCTGTCCAAGCCTGCTGTATGCCAGAGAACCTTGGCACATAGGGGATAGTGGGTCTGAGCAGGAGGAAATACAGGCTGCTTGGATGCTAGAGATGTTGCTGTGCCCCCTTGCCAGCCCCAGTGCTGAGGAGTGGCAGTTCAGTCTCCCTGCTATGGGAGCTGGGGAAAGGAGAAGTGAAACACCCTAGCAGCTATTTTTTTTTTCCTGGTTCCACAGCACTTCTCTGTGGAAGGGCAGCTGGAGTTCAGGGCCTTGCTTTTCATCCCATGCTGTGACCCTTTTGACCTCTTTGCGAACAAAAAGAAGAAGAACAACATTAAGCTGTATGTGAGGCAGGCCTTCATCATGGACAGCTGTGGCGAGCTCGTCCCTGAATACCTAAGTAAGAGCCCCCCACCTCAGCCTTCCAGTGCAGAGCTGGAATCCCCACAGCCTGTGGTACCACTTCCAGAACAGAGGGACTAGATGAGGTGCTAGCTAGTGTGGGGGCACAGCAGTCAGTGTTTTAGCTCTTTTCTTTCTGTGTTGAAGCTCAAAATCCTTAACCTGACATCTATTTTCATTCTCCCTATGCAGACTTCATCCGGGGTGTTGTGGACTCAGAGGATCTTTTTCTGAACATTTCTCATGAGATGCTCTAGCAGAGCAAGATCCTCAAAGTGAACCGCAAAAACATTGTGACGAAATGCTTGGAGCTCTTTTCTGAGCTGGCAGAAGACAAAGAGAACTACAATAAATTTAATAAAGCTTTTTCCAAGAATTTCAAGGTGAGTTGCACCTGGAGGAGGGAAGGGCCCATGACCCATCTGCCTGAGGAGCAATCTTCTTCCTATGCTGTGTCTCCTCTGCATGGATGTTAGGATTAATGTCTTGTGAATGTGTGAAGGAGTGCCTTTGTGGGCACCTGTCCCCTCTGGCTGCTCTAGGCCAAACACTCAAATGATCAGGAGCTGGGCAGATGGCTGTGCCTCAGGGGCAGCCAAGTGCATCCAAGTCCTGTCCTGGAGACTTCATGCATCTCTTCTGCCCCCAGTTGGACATCCATGAGGATTCCACCAACTGAAAGCACCTTTCAGAGCTGCTGCGGTTCCACACATCCCAGTCAGGTGATGAGATGACTTCACTTTCTGAGTACGTGTCCCATATGAAGGAGAACCAGAAGAGTATCTACTACATCACAGGTGAGCCAGAGCTCCTCTGAGCCTAGCAAGGTGGGGGCAGGTAACCTGCATATGAACCATAATTTAAAACATTTCCTGCTGCCTACAGCAGGTCATCCCTGCTGAATTACAGCTCATTCCTGGGTGCTGGGGAAAGGCCACCAGGCCTAGAACCCTGGCTGCTCTGCCAGTTTTATGTTAGGGGTCCCAAGTGACTGATGGTGTTTGTCCTGCTGTAACCAGCTCTTACCTCTTGGTGATGTTTCATTTCTACCTTCCGCAAACACAGGGGAGAGTAAGGAGCAGGTTGCTAACTCAGCCTTTGTGGAGCGTGCACGGAAGCGTGGCTTTGAGGTGATGTACATGACAGAGCCCATCGATGAGTATTGCGTGCAACAGCTCAAGGAGTTTGATGGCAAGACCCTGGTATCAGTCACCAGAGAGGGGCTGGAACTGCCTGAGGATGAGGAAGAGAAAAAAAAAGATGGAGGAGAGCAAGGCCAAGTTTGAGGACCTCTGAAAACTTATGAAGGAAATCCTGGACAAGAAGGTGGAGAAGGTGAGGTGGGCAGGGAGCTTAGCCCTGCGCTGGAGGAAGGAGAGCTGGGTCCTCCTTGCTGCAGGTGAGAGCCCCTGCTCAATGCATGCCTCTCATCTCCTGCAGAGGAGCTGCTAAAGGAGACTGGAGGTCCCAGCATGCACCATCTTGCTCTAAGCAGTCAGGCTGCAAGTAAGGGGCACTGACCCAAATATGTGCATTGATGAGAGAGGGCAAGTGTGGCAAACATGCAGTGGGTGCTCTAAGTGCTGGCTGAGCTGTCCAAATTAGTCTGCAGCAGTCCTGGAGCTGCTTGGAGCATCTCTGCTTGCTTTGGGGTGTCCCCAGGTGAACCAGGGTCAAAAACTTGGGCTGTAGTATGCTGTGGCTGTACCTAGTCCAGGGCTTATGGGGGCCTTGCTCAGCTAACCCTTGGCTATGTTGGCAGGTCACAATCTCAAACCGGTTGGTCTCATCTCCCTACTGCATTGTCACCAGCACCTACGGCTGGACAGCCAACATGGAGCACATCATGAAGGCTCAGGCACTGCGGGACAACTCTACCATGGGCTATATGATGGCCAAGAAGCACCTGAAGACCAACCCTGACCACCCAATTGTATAAACCCTTCGCCAGAAGGCTGATGCCGACAAGAATGACAAAGCTGTTGAAGATCTGGTGGTGCTACTCTTTGAGACTGCTCTGCTGTCCTCTGGTTTCTCCCGGAAGATCCCCCGACCCACTCCAACCGCAGCTACAGGATGATCAAACTCGGGCTTGGTGAGTATCCATGCAACTTCTCAAGCCTGCAGCAGGCCTGAAAGCAGGTTAATTGGTCAGGCCTAGTGTCTTGGGGCAGGGGAAGCCAGTAAGGGAGCCATGGCTGCTATAATGTACTGTGAAGTGGCTCTGTACATAGGGTGGCCAGGAGAAAGTGTAAACCTGGAACAAGGTACTTCAGGAGGGCTCAGGACTCTGGGTGGACTGCCTATCCTCCACAGCACCAGGAGTCACCACCAGGATGTTCAGATGACAAGATGAGGCTTTTTATTCCTTCAGAGTAAATGTGAAAGTCTTTCATGGGTTATGTGACCCATGTGGAGAAACAGCTTGTGCTTGCACACGGTCTCTTCCTCCAAAATCACTGTTTAGCTAAAAATGTAAATCAGAAGGTGCTGTGGCTTGGCACAACTAAGTTAGTAACTCTGTGCTGCCTCTCTACTCCTCTCAGTAGGAGTAGGATGTTCTGTTAGTCAAGTTGCAGGTAAGGGGACTGTATGGTATTACAATTTTCTGTTCAGAGTATACTGAAACAGCAACCTGCAGGGCTGGAAACTGATGAGCTCTCAAGTCTTGCAACTGCTTTAGTTGTGACTTGGCTGGATTTACTGTATTTTTCTTGAGAGAAATGTTCATGCTGTTCAAACCACATCCTCCTGGCTTAACCTCCAGGTTTTGTGGTGCTGGGTGACTAATCTTTTGTAGTTAATAAAAATTGGCTAAGGAGCGCACTCTAATGGCATAGGTAATATCCATATACTAGTGTAGATGTTACTGGGAAGATGTACTGCTTCAGGATTAGTGCTGGAGCTGACTATAACTTCTAGCAATGTTGACTTGCAATTATTAGTTTTTAGCCGGAGGAAAGGAGACTAAGGGGTGACCTCATTGCATCGTACAGCTTCCTCACCAGGGGAAGCAGAGGGGCCTGCATTGGTATCTTCTCTGTGGTGACCAGTGACAGGACCTGAGGGAACGTCATGAAGCTTTGTCAGGAGAGGTTTAGGTTGGATATTAGTTAAAGGTTTCTTACCCAGAGAGTGGTTGGCCAAGGAACAGACTCCCCAGGGAAGTGGTCACAGCGCCAAGCCTGCCAGCATACAAGAAGTGTTTTGACAACACTCTGAAGCACATGGTGTGCTTCTTGGGGCTGTCCTGTGTAGAGCCAGGAGTAGGACTTCAGTGATCTTTGTGGGTCCCTTCGATATCAGAATATTCTATGATTCTGTGAACTACTGGATACTAATAGCCCCATTCCTCAGGCTGGGGGCAAGGAGCCAGGAGACAGGTTTACTCTGGGAGAGGCTGTGCATCTGGGATTAGGTGTCATTTGGAGGCCTTATCTCTTCCTGTTCTTCCCTCTCCCAGGCATAGATGAAGATGAGATGGCTGCAAAGGAGCCCAGTGCAGCTGTCCCTGAGGAAATCCCCCCTCTGGAGGGAGATGAAGATACATCCCACATGGAAGAGGTAGACTAAAGGACCTCTGCTCTGTCATGTTTGCTTAGAAGATGGTCTGCTCCCACCAGCTGCTACTGACTTCTTGGTGGTGTCTATTCTTTTGGCTCTGTTTGGTTGGGGTTGTTTTTGGCAGGTGCAGGAGGGCATTATGCCCTGTTTGTTAGTAGTGATTCAGGTAGCCTGAGGCTCGTCTGTTCTGTGTCTTACTGCTTGTGTAGGAACAGCTGATGGGGAGTGGAGGTGTGAGGAGGCATCAGGCTTCCCCTCTCTCCCCCTCATGGGGTGTCCCACATTACCAGTAGGCATCAAAAACGATCCTTACTCCATTGGGGTGGGAGAGCCCTTCCTCCAAACTGCTGCCTCCCTGAAGCCCCAGTATAATGTATTTTGGTTGGGTTTTGTTTGATTATTTTTCTGGAGTTTCTTGTACTGGAATTAAAGAATTGATGATTTACATGGTGGGGTCCCTTGTGTTTCATGCCTGCTCTTCTGAGAAAATGTCTCAGCCTGTGCCTGAGGGCACTGGACTCTGCTGTGTAGGTGTCCCCTGTGCCTTGACTGCTTTTCTGAGTCCTGCTTTAGGAGATCTTTATCTCTTCCATGCCCTGGCAAGATGAAGTGGGTGGAAGGAACATATGACTTGCTGTGCAGGTGGGGTCATCTCCAATGAGCAGTCATTCTCCACCTGGAAAGCTGCATGCTCCCCAGCCTGGGAGCAAATTCCCAATCTGTGTGGGTCAGCTGGGTGAGCTGTGCCAGGGCCTGAGCTGCTGCTGGCTGGTTAGATCTGAGCACCTATGGGGCATGATAGTGGCAGGAGCCATCTGCTTTGTTCCATTGCAGTGTGAAGCGACAGTTCAGGACTGCAGTCAACCTGCTTCTCTTCAGCTTTTGGGCCAAAGACTCAACTCCTTTCCTCCCACCTCCAGCCTGCCCTTTCTGGCTTTCTGGAGCCATTGGATGTTGAGCAGTATCTGGCTTCTTTCCAGCTGTGTCCTAGATGTGAAGCCTGGGACATCACCTCTGACTGAACTGCTCCTTGCACTGAGCTCACTCTGAGGTTTGTCACCCTTGGCCACAATGGCCCTTCAGGTTTGTCAGAGAAAAGTGACACCAGCATTAAGTTCTCTTGCTGCCCACATGCCAGCTGCCACAGGCACAAAATAGAATGGGCTCTAGCCAGTATCCATCTTTAACAGGGAGCTAGAGCCTGCTGGAATCCCTTGCTGCACCCCAAGACTGTGCTGCCAGTGTGGCTGCTGTGTGGGTGCAGCCTGCTAGGGCAGTGGTGCAGCTGAGCTAGCAAATTGTTTTAAAAATAGGATTTCCCTCTCAATAGGCAAGTGTTGCCAAATAGTGAATCAATAAAAATTAACCTTTTAAGTTAATGTCCTGGGTTTTCTTTTTCCACTAATGTTTTGTTTAAATCTACATTTAAATTAGAAAAGTTATCCCACTGTATTACATTCCTAACCTGGCAATGTGGGTTTTTGTTGTTTTGTTTTTAATCAAAGGAAATCACATTCCATTTTCAGTCTGTCAGCAGATGTTGAGTGCAGACATTTGGGCGAATTTGTAGGGCAGGATGAAAAGCTGTGAGGTTGCACAGACACCTGCAACATCTCAGAGATAGAAAAGGAACCCTGGTAAAACTGCTGGGAAGCCAAATGCTCTGAAGCTTGGGCTGTGCTCAGCACCAGCTGTGGTGTTCCTCCAGGCTCAGCTAAGTCACCACTGTCCCTAGTCTCCTCCTCTGTTTCTCTTGTGACCCTCACCTGAGTGTCCCCTTTCCCTAGCTGTGTTAGGTCCCAGTCCCATCTCTGACCCCAGACTCACTCTTGCCTGGATTTTCACCAGGCCTCCCACACATACCAGGATGGCTCTGGCTGCTGCAGTATGCCCCACAAAGTGGTATAGCACCGGTGGCCCTGGCTGGCAGGTGCTCAGCAGGCCTCTGTATCACCTCTTGGTAGCTACACCCACTGGGAATTCCTTAAGCTACACCATGCAGAGAACTTAGGAGCCAAACTAGGCTCAGGCTAATGGCTCCTTCACCTGCCCACCAGCATAAGCAGCATTCCAAACCTGGCTGTGCTCCCCAGTTGTGTGTGAAAGATCTCCTGTCAGGCCTTGCAGCTTTAAGTGCAACCCTGGTAGATACCAGTCTTGGCAAAGACAGAGAGAGGCACCTGTATTTGGAAAAACAACTTTGCTGTCCCAGAGAGACTAGGGACACAGGAAGAGCTGGAAATCTCTTCCCTCCTACCAGGTACATGGAAAAAAACACCCAACCAACAAAGCAAAACAAAACAAACACAAACAAACAAACAAAACCAAAACAAAACCACAAAAACAAACAAAAAACCAAACCCACATTTATACCCATTGCACTATATGCAGCATATTTTTAATTTAATAAAATAAAAAGAGAAAAAAAATGCCTTGCAAAAGTACCAAAACCTGCTGGTTTGTCAGTCAGGTTGTGTTGACGAGAAAAGGATTGACCAATAAAAGCCAGGCTATTGGGGAAGAACAGCTTTCACTGCTCCATCCCCTGCTATCTGTGGAGCAGGAACAAGGCACCGCAAGCGGGCTCTGCCCCATGTCCCAACCCTCCAGGCACAGACTCTGGCCAGCCCCTGGGAAAACCAGGGCCAGTGCCTCCAGGTGGCAGGAAAAAGAGGAGTTGTTTGTGCTTGTCTGAATGGCAACTGCAAAGCCCAGAACCCATGGCACTGAGGGACCCCGAGGTGGTGCTGGGGCTTCTGGGCAGCACAGCCTTTGGCCTGTAACAGCAGCAGATGTAACCAAAAAGCAACCTTGAAGGACTCAGCAAGCCTTGGGAACTGCCCAGCTCAAGTACTGCATAAAAATCAGCCTGGGCTGAGGGGGGCAAAGAAAGTGTCCTGGAGCAGGAGTAAAGAATCTGTAAAACCAAACTGAGAGGTACTGGCTTTCACTGCAGTGCCCTCCCAGAGCAGATCCCAGGCCTGGGATAGGACAGGCTGGGTATCCTTCTCCTGGCTGTGCCTGTAATCACCTCTGCCTGACCCAGAGCCCCTCCTGGAATGGAGGAAGAGCAGTCCCTACCCTTCAATGGGCTCAGCTTAGGACTTGTTCTCACTCAGAGGTGTTTCAAAAAGAAACCTAGTGTTTTGCTTGCCCTTTCCTCTTGCCAAGCTCTGTAGTACTAACAGAAATGGAGGAGCATTAGCCAGAGGCAAGACAGTGCCAAGGAAGTGTTCCCTTTTTCTTCAGTGACTTTGGAGAGAAGCCACAAGACAGAGCTGGGGCAGGAATACCAGCAGCCCCATGCTGGTGTGTCCCCAGCCTGTGCCTTGGCTGTAAGTCTTTGACCCATTAAGGCAAATGGAAAGGTTTGGAGCTGCGTCAGCCCAGAGCGCTTCCTGGGCTTGTTCCAGCCTCTTTCCTAGGAAAAGCAGGTGGAAAACTGAGTCACTGGTCCTGTCTATCCATACCCCACTCTTCTCAGTTGGTTCTGAGAAATCCAGCAAATACCCTCAAGTGGAGGCAGGACAGCGGGCATGGCTTAAATGCCATGGCCTCAGCTTCCTTAGACCTTTTGAACAGGGCTCTCGCCCAGTGGGAGCTTCTTACTGCGCTTCTTCATGCGGCTGCGGGCATAGACACGGAGAAAGAGGGCCATGAAGACAACGGCAATGCCCAGCCCACCCACAACAGTGACAGTGTGCCCATAGATGAGGCAGGAGAGGAGAATGGCAAAGGCCTGTCGGAGTGTCATGATGATGGTGAAGACAGCTGCCCCAAACTGGTTGATGGTGTAGAAGATGAAGAGCTGGCCACAGGCAGAGCACACGGAGAGCAGCACGGCGTGGGCGGTGAACTCCGAGTGACGGGCCATGAAGCGCAGCGACTCTAGCAAGGCACCCTGCTCCACGAGCGAGCCCACTGTGAAAAGGCAGGAGAAGACGTTGACACCAAACATCATCTGCACGGGAGACATCTTGTAGGTGAAGAGAGCATCCTGCCAGTTGGAGGTGAAGCTGTCAAAGATTATGTAGCCAGCCAGGAGCACTATGCCAGAGAAGGTGGTGACAGTGGACACCGTCCTGTTAGGAGCACTGGAGAGCAGGAACATGCTGACCCCCACGGAGATGAGGGCAGCAGTCAGGTACTCCCAGTACTCATAACTCTTGCGCGACACCAGTTTGCCCATCATCATCACTGGGATCACTTTGGAGGCCTTGGCCAGCACTTGGGTGGGGAAACTGATGTATTTGAGTGCCTCATACTGACACCAGCTGCTGAGGATGTTGGAGAGGGAGGCAAAGGAGTATTTGTACATAGGAGCCCCGTGGCGTGGCTGCTTGGTCAGGGCACAGTACAGACCAGCCACGGTGAAGGCCAGGATGCGGTTCATGAACACGAGGAACTGGGAGTCCTTGAACTTCTCTCCAGGGTCTGCTTCAGTGGCACCGTATGTTCTTGTCATCACACGCTCCTGGAGGACACCCCATGTGAGGTAGGAAGCCTGCAAAGCAGCAGGAGCACAGGGAGAAGTTAGGACCTATAACAGCAGCTGCCAGTAACAACAGGAAGAACAGACCCCAGGAGAACCTTGCTCTCCCCAGTGTTGCTCATCCTCTACATGGAAATGTTTCCCTGAGACATTGGGAGATGGGACCACCCTCCACTCCACCCATCTGAGGGAACACGCTGATACGTGTGGTTACAACCAGGAACATCCTATTCCAAAGCACACCTGCTCAGTGGACAGGGGAGAAAAGCCCACAATGCAAACATCCTGGTGAGAGCGAGCAGTTAATGCTTTGAGCTACTTTAAACCTGTGGAACCAGACTGACTGAATCAGGGAACATTACTGATACACAGCTGTGGTTTTGGTGCTAGCTCCCTGTGGCAGGTCCTGGCAGTTTTCCCAGTGGCCTCTGCACTGGTTTTCACTTCCAGCTCCCTAGGCCTGGTTTTTACATCCAAATCAATTCTAGTTTCAAAACCAGCAGACAAAATTGTCCACGAGGGATGATCACTGTTCTGGTTGTCATCTCCACTGCTTTTGGTGCAACAACACCAGGCGCCTCACAGAAATAACTGACTTCCTCTCATCACACATCCCTCAAGAAAGTAAGACACAGAGAGATGGAATAATTTGGTGGCCCACAGAATGTCTGAATAGGATGGGGGAGTAAGCCAGAGAGTGAGTTGTTTCCTGGCTGCAGGACACCTGGGTTTTTCTATCTCAGCGCCCACATTGCTATTTTTCGTCCTCATAGATCAAAAAAAGTTGCCCTTCCTAATGATGCTCAGGCTGTAGCATCATTGGGGAATCTAGGATTTTAAATCCCTGTTTATCTGTAGCTGAATTAAGTATTTTTCTCTCCAGTACTCAAATTCAATCCACCAAGGCAGAATGCATCAGCCCCAGACAGTGACCCACGGGAGAGCCTGGGATA